ATTGAATTTGTTTTCTTGTAGAACTTGAAGTGCTTTGCTTCATGGTCTTCTTGACTTGATTCTTTTTTTTTTTTTTTTTTTTCTTGTTATTCTTGTTTTTTTGGTGGAACTGGGGATTGAACTCAGGCTCTTGCACTTGCCAGGAAGCCCTTATTCTACTGAGCTATGTCCCTGGCCCCTCCACTTAATTCTTTGTGAGGAGAAATCTGCTCATATTCTGATGGGTTTTACTTTAAAGGTGATCTGTTTCTTTTCTCTAGTGGCTTTTAGTATGTTGTTCGGCTGAATTTCTGGGATCTTGATTATTATATGTCTGGGTGTGGTTTTAATTAGGTTGATATTATTTGGAGTTCTATATTCCTTGGTAACCTGAATGTCAGATTGTTTTCCTATATTTGGGTAGTTTTCTGTTATTGCTTCTCCCATGTTCTTTTTATGTTGTTTGTGTGTTGTTTCTCCTTTCTCATTGATTTCTATTAGTCTTACATTGTTCATTTTCACATTATCTTGAAGCTGTTTAATTATTTTCTGGATCCGGATTGTTTTTAAGAGATCTTTTCTTACCTTTTCGCTAGCTATAGTGGTATTTTCAAGGTCTGAAAGTCTATCTTCACTTTCATTCAAATAATTTTGCCAACTTTTAATGGAGTTTTTAATTTCTTGTATATCTCTTTGAATCTGCTTCATGTATTCTGTTTCTTTCCTGTATTGTTCATTCAAGGTTTCCACCATTTTTCTATTCTCTATTTTTTTTTTTTTATCAGTGTCTTCTTTGTAAACCCTTAGAAATTCTTTCATTATAGGTACCATTTTTTTTTTTTTTTTTACCCTGTGAGATTATTTCTGATCTGATTTCCTCTCTACTCTTCTGCACTTGTTTCTTTACTTGACTTGCAATTATTTTAGAGGTTGTGGGTGTGTGGCTTCCAATTTCTTCTATGCTGATGTTTCCTGGATTTGTTCTGGGTGAGCTTGGGGCCTGACAATCCATTTTGTTCTTTTTTGTCATTTTCTGTTTCAGAGAGAACTCTATTTTGATTTCTGTGATATGTTCTTGTATCACTGTAGTCAGAGCCTCTTTTCTGTGTCTACGGCCATACCACTCTGAATATCCTGGATCTCCACTGTAAACAGTCTGTTTTTTAGGTATCTCTCTTGTGTCAGAGATTCTTGTTTTGTGTGTGTCCCAAGATTTTGCCTTCTCCATTGATTGAGAGTGAAATATTGGTTTTTGTTTGTCACTGTCCTCTATCCTTCAGTGTAGGGCTTTGGTGAGATTATTACCCAAACATGTCCCGATATTATTACCTGGGTAAGAACCTGTGGTTAAGGCAGATATGGTTTCTTATTTATAGTAGTACAATTAGCATTGCTAATAACAGATAAATTTAGAAATTGACAAACTTTTGTAAGTAATGGGTTTGTACTTTAGACCGTAGGAGCAAATATAGCTGTATAACCAAGCAGATCTTAAATTGGGAATTTGTATTTAAATTAGTTTCCCTGAGTTCTGTCTAGGCATCTCCCCTTCATGCACCTGGAGTCTTCCAGGCAGACTAACTCACCCCAGTTACCTGCTGCCACCTTTGTGCCACAGGGATGCTCCTGTAGGTCTTGGCTTCAGTCTGGGTCAGGTGTGCCCAGCAGTAAGCCTCAGCTACCTGGGTCTAGACCTACTGAACTTGAACTCAACTGACAGGACCTGGCTTGGGTCTGGTTGCTGTGGTCAGCTCCTTGCAGCTGAGCCCAGTCCAAGTGGACTGCTGGGCCCCACTGGCTGCCTGTCCCGCTCCTTCCTGGTAGGCTACCAGAGGTGGAGTCTGTAGTTAACTCTGAAGTAAACATCTGTACTATGATCACTTCCTTGAATTTGAGTCTTGAAATTTCCAACCATCTGCTGCAAATTTCTGATCACACATCTTAGTAGCTTCAGCTTAACATACATAAACCAAATCTTTCCAAACTAGCCAGTTTGACTTATGTAGGATTTCATGTAGGATTTTGTGCTCATTTTGTTTCTAAGTCTTAACATGTTAGTCACTAGTGGGTCCTTTTCACTTAACTAGTTAGCCACTAAATTTGATGAGGTTTTTGGAAAGCATAGTTTGAGAAAAATTCTAGTTTCAATGAGGAATATTGTTTTTTTTTTTTTTTTTTAGAATGGTGTCAGGCACATACTGGTAATCCGAGCACGTTGGAGACTGAGGCAAGGAAGATCACTGAGTTTGAGGCTAGCCTGAACTGCATGTGAGACCTTGTTTCAAAAAACAAAGCAGACAAGGGGTGGCTAAATAGCTGTGCCTGCAAGCAGGCGCAGGTGCAGGGGTTTCAATCCCTGGGCCACCCTCGGGGCACACTGAGACAGTTGAGACTGTGCCTTGTGGTACAGTGCCTGTAATTCCAGCTCTTGGGAGGCTTTAAACAGGCGGATCACTATAAGTTGGGCGATCTAGTAATGAGACCTTGAGCACCCTGTAGACCCTTCCCTAAAATATAAAAACAAAAGAAAACAGAGAAAGAGTCCCACCAAACCCAAAGTGGTGCTGAAGCTAGGTGTGGTGGTGTAAGCCTGTAATTGCAGCAATCCATGAGGGTTTTTTTTTTTTTTTGTCCTCTAGTGGTGGTGGTTTTGGGAATTGAGCCCAGGACCCACATCCACAAACCTTTTAAAAAATTTTTATTTTGAGAAGGATTTTTTCTTTTTTTTTGGGGGGGGGCTGGCTCAGACTGCCTTAAGGGCGGGTATGGTATGGTATGTGGAGCTGGGGATCAAACCACGGTATCCTGTGCCTGATTGCGTTTGCATGAGTAGGTGCTTAAACAACTGAGCCAACAGGCAGGCCACTGTACAAATGTTTTATTTTGAGACAGTCTCACTAAGATGCTGTATTGCCCAGGTGTTCCTCAAACTTTTTATCCTTCTGTAGCATACCACAGTGGTGGGATTATAGGTTTATGCCATGCCTAATATCTAGCTACTCTGGAGGCTGAAGTGTAAGGGTCAAGAGTTTGAGGTCAGCCTGGACAATTTGAGAATCTTGTCTCAAAATGAAAAGGACTAGGGTTATAGCTCACTGGTGTAGGGCAACTCTGGCTTCTATCCCCAGTACCACACACATACACAAAAAGTGCCTGAATGTTATATTCATAGGCTGAAAAAAATTGAACCTGACTTTTACTTTCCACGCTAAAAATTAACCTTAAATGGCGCATAGGCTTAAGTTGAGAGAGGAATTTTTTTTTTTTTAATAATTAAAGAAAAATCTTGTTATGTTGAGCTGTAGGAGGCTCAGGTCAACAATTTCTGACATTGGCAGTCAAGCAGAAGACCCAATACTATTATGGATTACTGGACTCTTTTAGAATATTTTGCTGAGTTCACACACCTATAATATTCAAATGACGGAACTAAGCAAAAAAGGGGATACATATGAATGTCCATTTTGTATCTGTGTATTCAAAGTGGTTAGGATAGATATATAGCTACATTCTCTTAATGAGTAGAGAGATTTGTTGTAATAGTATTTGCAAATAGGATATCGTGTCCACATCTTGTACAGCAAATAACCATTAGGAAGAATGTATGCAATGTGTTAATTATTGAAACTGTCCTACCAGTTTGATTTGAAACTGTGTCATTGCTGTTTGTCTCTCAATAAAATTATGGAAAATAAATAAATAAAAAAAAGAAAAATCATTTATTTATTTATTTATTTGGTACAGGGCCTTGCTACCCAGCTTGGACTTGTGACCCTTTTGTCTCAGCCTGGGATTATAGGCATGTTCCACCATACCCGGTTTCCATGGCCAGCATGGTGCACCTAGGAACCCAGGGTCTGCACAGCATATGGTACTGGGATTTAAACAAGTCCTTGTGGTTGCCAAGAAGGCACTTAGACCACTGAGCTATCTCCCCAGCCTGAGAGAGGAAATTTTAAAAAGTTCTAAGAGAAAACAAAAGAACATACTGAGTTTGATTTGATTTTATTTTTTAGTACAGGGTCTATAGGTCTATGTAGATCAGAATCTTAGTGATTCTCCTGTTTTCAGCCTCCCAAGCGCTGGGATTACAGGCTGCGCCACCATGCCCAGTCTCCAATTGAGGTCTTACCATGGACCTGGGGGCGAGGCGGGCAAGGCATGCTGGGGATCGAACCGCAGCTGCTGCAGTCTGCCTAAGCAGGTGCTTTAGTCCACTGAGCTATCTGGCTGGCCCTCTGAGTTAGATTTTTGATGTGACACAAAAAGCTCAAATAATAAATTGATTAAAACTGATGAAAAGTTCATAAATTGGGCTTGATAAAAATTAAATACTATTACTGTTAAGATGGTATCACTGAGAAAACTTACAAACCAGTTTGGTAGAAAATATTTAAAGGCATACGTAAGAAGGAAACTATTTACTTCTTATAATGGGCAGAATATTTGAATAGGCACTTAGCTAATGACTATATGTATGAGTAATGAGTGGTGGATAAACACATGAAAACATAACCTCAAGAGCATAGTTTTTAGAGAAATTCAAATTAAAACCACATAGAGCTGAGTATGGTGGTACTTACATGTAATCCCAACAATCTGGAAGGCTGAGGCAGTATGATTGCAAATTTGAGCTCAGCCTGGGCAACTTAGCAAAACCCTGTCTTCAAAAGTGAAAAGGGGGCCAGCAAGATAGCGAAGCAGACTAAATGCCTGCTTTGGTAAGTGCAGGGACCAGGGTTTGGTTTCTGGTCCTGGATGCTGCACTGGCCCCTCCCCAGGGGTGCGCTGAGCCAGTGACTGAGTCTGGATGTGGTGGCTCATGCCTGTAATCACAGCGCTGGGAGGCTGAAAACGAGTCTGAGCTGCATAGTGAGTCCCTGTACCAAATACTTAAAAAAAAAAAAAAGGAAAAAAAAAGTGAAATGGGCTGCTAATACAGCTCAGTGCAAAGGCCCTGGGTTCAATCTCCAGTATCATAAGAAACAAAACAAAAACCACATAGTGATACTAACACATACCCATTACAATAACCAAGATCAAAAAGAATGAAAATAGCAAGTTTTGGTGAAGTTGAATAGAAATTGTGATCCTCATACATTGCTGATTATAATATAAAATGATACAGCCAGTATACTCTAAGGAACATCTTCAGTGTATTAAATATAGTTTATATGACCTAGCAGTTTTGCAACATATGTCAAAAAGAATTGAAAAAAAAATACCCTGTATAGGAGTGCTAATAATGTCATTATTTATTTATTTTTTTGTGGAACCAGGGATTGAACTCAGGCCCTTGTGCTTGCCAGGGAAGCGCTTCTTCTACTGAGCCATCTCCCCGGGCCCAATTATTTGTAAATAGTCAAAATAGAACAATTCAAATGTCTAGTAACAGATGAACGCATGAAATAAGATATGGCATTTCCATGTGATAGAGTACAACTTAGCAATAAAAAGCAACCAAACTTCAAATGTAAATCTCAGAAACAGTAGAAGTCAGATAAAATTACATATTATTTATCATCCATTTATAGGGAATTAGCAGATTAGACAAAGGTGTAGAGTTTAGTTTCCCAAGTTGAGGAGGGAGGGAGGAATGACTGCAAGGGGTATGAGGGAATTTCTTGGGATTGTGGAAATGCGATTTGGTAACACATGAACAACTTTGAATTTACTAAAACTCATTGGAGGCACTCACTAATATTAATGAATTTATTAGTATATAAATTATCTCAGGTAAAATAGCAGTTTGTGAATTTAAAGGTTCTAGAGTTTATTAACAAAGGAAATTCCACACTGATCATAAACCAATAAGGGGGATTAAGGGAAGGGCTGTTGTTTGCAATAGAATAAAAGTGCTAAATGGAGAGTGGTGGAATTAGAAAACTAGCATTCTGCAGCCAGCCAGAGTCAAGTCGGACCAACCAAAAGTTGGCTATATAGTGTTGGGCGTGGTAGCACCGGGCTGTAATCCTAGCCTTTAGAGGCTGAGACAGGATTGAGAGCTTGGGGGCAGACTGAGCTGCATGGCTAGTTCATAGGTGGCCTGGCCTAGCCTAGCCTCAGACTCCATCTTAAAAGGAAAACTAAGACAAAATGAAATGAACAAACACCAAAAAGGGAGTGACAAATCTAAATCTTGAGGTACATGTTGATTAGAAGTAGAATATTTAAATAGTCTAAAAGTATCCCCAAACAGACTGCTTTATGTAACAAGTATTCAGAAGAAATCAGACTATATCTTGACTATGTGAACAATAATTACTTCACTAGTGAAGGATAGCCAGACATGTCTCGGTGCTGGTGATGCCTTGAGACTGACATAGCGAAGTGTACTATTCACGCTGAGAACGTTTTACCTGAATTTATTTATTTATTTATTTATTTATTTATTTTTTTCTTTTTGGTAGAACCGGGGATTGAACTCAGGCCTTTGCACTTGCCAGGGAAGTGCTTATTCTACTGAGCCATCTCCCCAGTCCTTTTACCTGAATTTAGTCATTATGAAACATCAACCAACCTCAGATGAGGACTATTCTATTTTAAAAGGTGTGTGGTGGGTGGTTTGTATTAAGAAGCTATTCCTATCATAGGATACAAAGGAAGGTTTTGGAGACGTTTCAGGTTAATGTGAGACATATCATAGTAAAATGCAGTAACTAAGCTAGACTGGATCCTGAGCGTGAGAGAGGTAGTAAGTATACTGTAAAAGCCATTATTGGGTCAATTGACAAAATTGGAATGTGGATAGTAGATTAGATAAAAAAAAAAAAACAAAACCAATGTTTCTGAAGTTGATAATTATAATTTCTGAAATTGAGGTTGTATAAGAAAGTAACTTAATTCTACTTTTGGATCCCTAGGGGGTGCTGAGTTCTAACCCAGGTCTCATGCTGCTAAGGAAGCACTTTATCACTGAGTTACATTCACAGCTCATTCTTAAGAAAGGCACATTGGAGAGTTTAAAGGCCTGTAAGATACATAATTCACCCTCTGAATTATTTATTTATTTAGTGTATTTGGTACAAGGTCTCACTACACAGCTCAGACTCAAAGTGATCCTCCTGTTTTCAGCCTCCCCAGCACTGGGATTACAGGAGTGTGCCACAATGCCCAGTCTTGGTGACCAGCTCAGTGTGCCTGGGTTGGGGCCTGCGCGACCTGTGGTGCCGGGTATGGAACCCCAGTCCCTGCACTTGCCTAAGCAGGTGCTTAGTCTGCTGAACTATCTTGCCAACCCTTGATTTTATTTAGAAAAGAAAAAAAAAAAAATAGATACAATGACCTTGTGGACACAAGCCAAAATAAAGCAAATGGAGTAAAATCTTACAAATAGGGAATTAGTAAATAGTACATGGGTGTTCTTGGTTATCATTTGTGTAGTCCTTCCATAAATTAGAAATTATTTTCAAATAATCAAACTATTTAGCTTTGAAAAAATGATTTGACTCAAGGATTAACATTTTAAAATAAGTGTTAGGCATTTCTGGGGAGTTGAGGCATATTTATGATGAAGTTTTTTAAGTCTGAAGTTTTTAATTTGATAAGTGAAGTTGAATACTAAATTTGGACTAAACCTTTATGTTAATATTTAGGCTAAAATTCCAGCAATCTATTTGTGCTCATCTAAGAAGCCCCACCCCCAGCCTTCAAGATGGATGATAGTTTGGATAAATTTATAGAAGAACGTAAAGCCAAATTGGCCAAAGACAAAGCAGAATTGGAACATGACCCACCTTACATGGAAATGAAGGTAAAGTTAATAATTTTGTTATAACATTTAAAAAATCTTTCTATATAAATGCAAAACATCTTGTTGTAAGAGAGAATGTTTTATTTCATACTTTAATTTGCCTGTGCTCTCATTCTGATTTTGAGAGCCTGACTCCAGACAAGATTTTAGAGATTTTGTGTAGTTTTTCTTTCTTTTCTTTTTTTCTTATAGACATGGTATGTTATGTTGTTCAGGCTGTTTTTGGACTCTTGGTGATCCTTCTACCTCAGCCTTCTGAGTGCTAGCATTACAGGTATGCATCACCACACCTGGCTAAATACAGTTTTTCTTATATCTCACAATATTTCCTCTCATTGGACTTTTATTTTTAAATTTTTAAAAAACTTTATTTATTTATTTGGTACACTGTGCAGCTCAGACTCATAGTCTTCCTTCTGTCTCAGCCTCTCTAGTGCTGGGATTACAGGCATGCGGTACCTTGCCCATTTTGTTGTCCAGCTTGGTGTGGTACCAGGGATTGAACCTGGGTTCTTGCCTGCATAAGGCAGGTGCTTATGCTGCTGAGCTATCTCCACAGCTCTTGTTGGAGTTTTAATGAATGATCATGTGGTCTATAAATTTTTTTTTTTCCTTTGAGACAAGGTTTCACTGTGTAGTTCAGGCTGGCCTTGAACTCAAAGCAGTCCTCCTGCCTCAGCCTCCCAAGTGCTGGATTTAAGTCATGTAACATCATACCCAGCATCCACAGAATATTTAGGAAATCAGTTCTTGTGTAAAGAACTTCCAGAAAAAGTGAGACAGAAGTAAAGCAAGTTTTACATATTCTGTGTGATAGTGTCTATCTATCTATCTATCTATCTATCTATCTCTCTATCTATCTTAGTTTTTTCTGACAGAATCTCACTGTGTAGCCCAGGCTGGCCTCAAACTTGTAGCAGTCCTGCCTCAGCTCCCCAAGTATTATAATTATAGGTATGTGCTCCCACAGTGAGCTCAATAATTGCAGTATTTAATGAATCATTCAAAGCATTCTTAAAATGTACATTGCTGAATTAAGATAGGATAATTTGTATTGTTTGCTCTTCAGAATAGAAACGTGTTAAATGTTTGTTTTTGAAAACATTTTCTGGAAAGTTTAAGTTTTTCTTTCTTTTTTTGTTAATGTATTTGGTACATGGTCTTGCTATGCAGCTCAGAGTCTGAGTGATCCTCTTGTTTTCAGCCTCCCCAGAGCTGGGATTACAGGCCTGTGCCACCATGCCAGGTCTCAGGGGCTGGGCCAGCATGCTTGCCTAAGCAGACATTTAGTCTGCTGAGCTATCACCAAGTCATTTTTCTCATCTTGATGAAAGAGTGATTCATCAGCTTGGCAAATATTGAGGATCCTGTACTAATCTAGACATCCTTTGTATCATCTCGCATGTGTATTAATATATGAGATGTACTGTGAGTCTGTGCCATATGTTGAGTTGTAACAAGAGTAACCATATGTGTTAGTTTGCCTAAGTCATTGTGGCTCACCCGTTGTCCATGTCTCTTCTGGTGTAGCATTTGTCCTGGTGGCGCTTGTGTGTAATCCCAGCACTTGGGAAGCTCAGGCAGGAGGTTCACCAAAAATTTGAATCCAGCCTGAACAGTAAGTTCAGGGCCAGCCTGGACTACATAGTGAGTCACTGTCTCAAAAAACTGGGGGGGAAAAAAAAGTAGTTTTAATTGCATAGCTACTATTTATTGAGTGCTAGCTAAGGATAAGACATAGTCTTAAAGGTTATATTTCATAGTAATCTATGACCTAAGTGCTGCTGTAATTTTTCAGATAGCTAAACTGAGATACGAGGAGGTAAGTACCGTGAAAAAAGGTGATCTAGTTGGTGGACTCTAGTGCTTGATTCCTGAGCTACCCTACTAGGTTGCCTTCCTCCCACAGTAATCCTCCACAAAATAATCATAACAAGGAGCTGTGCCAAGGGCTTTATCTGTATCATTTCATTTGTTCATAACATGCATGAGTGGGGAAATTTTGTTTTGTTTTATACATCAAAAGAAATGAGATAGATTGAAGATTAAAGCCTTCACTGAACTGTGAAATCTTTGGGTTTTTTTAGGCAGGCTTTCACTATGTAGCTGAGACTGGCCTTGGGCTCACAGTGATCCTCTTGCCTCAGCCTCCTGAGTGCTGAGATTTCAGGCATGCCCCACTATACTGGGCCTCTGAAGTTTTTGCTCCTAATCACTCAGTATTAAGAGGCAGTTGTATAGTGTTTGTAGTTATATGGTTTGGAGTATATAAGTTTAAATATAGGTTTATTATTTCTAATAGTAAATAGCACATAAGTAATTTTTTTTTTTTGTGATGCTGAGGAACATGAGTAATCTTTATTTCTCTATTCCAGAGTCCTCTGCTCATCAAGGCTTTGTAGTCCCTGCCATAGCTTTTTTGGTTTTCCTAACCTTGTTTTTAAAGTTTTCCATAGCCCTTTCTTGTCACTCTTTATAATGCATATTGTAATTGTATTCTCTTATTGTTTGTCCCCAGAAGTTTTTAAGTTTTCTTCTGACAGAGATTCTTTTTTTAAAACAAGATTGGTATTTCCAATGCTTGGCATAGTGTAGGGGATTTGATAGGAAGTCAGTGAGTGGTGATTAGTGAATGAGTTAAATATTAAAATATTTAGAAAAAAATTTAGGACTGGGGATGTAGGTGAATGGGCAGAATGCTTCTTGTCATGAGTTGGGTAAACCCTAGGCTTAAGTCCCACTACCACCTTACATTAGAATATTTATTACAGTATTTAAATGCCTTTGGTTAATTCCTCAGACCTTACCTTAAATCACTTCTCAAATGTGCCATATAATTTTGTCACGCTCTTAAATGGAAGTTTTCAGGTGAATTGCATATTTTGTTGGAATTTTTTTCTCCTTGATTTGTAAATATTACGTCTTTCAGGGAAAGACATCAGAGAAGCTTTCTGAAAATAGTAAAATACTATTCTCCATGGCTAAGGAAAACATACCGCCAAACTATCAACAAACCAAGGGGTCTTTAGGTATGTTATCAGATGTGCTAAACTATATTGAAAACATGTGCTAATAAAGATAATTGTGGAGAAAAGGAAAGAAAATGTGCTAAACTGAGTTTGAAAAATTCTTGATAGGCTGTTGTGAAAGAGGTTTGTCTTGTCAGAAAAGGTATTACTTTGGAGTATTTCTAATTTTCCTCTCTGGAACCTTACATAAGACAGTGTAATTTATATTGTACCTGCTTTTGTATAATATTGCCTTGGTTACAGTTTATAGAAATCATATCAGTAAGTACATGTAATATAATTAAAAATTAATTGAAACATTTCAGTGGAATTTTGTATGTGTGTGTATGTGAAACTCCTTGTTGAATAAAAATGGTGGACTTGTGTTGTTTAAAAAAAATTAAAGAAATATACTTAAAGAATATAAAATGTTATTGGTGAAAGACTGTAATTATTGACTACATTGCAATTATAAGGAAGTTAATGCTATAACTATATAGATTTCTTAGTATATATACTGCTGGAGGGAGCGCTACAGTACACAAGATTTTTTATTATGGTTTGTGTGAAAATATTTAGAAACTTTTGACTACACTTTGGCTTGTTGGTAAGTATACCTTTTAAAAAGAAAATGTTTCATTATTTATAATGTACATTTTTTTGATTATTCATGACAATTTAAACTTTTTTTTCACAAAAATAAGCCAAATGTGGTGAGTTTAGTTGTTTAAAGCATGTTCATTTATAAACTTTTTCATGGCCATAGGTATATTCCTAGGTTTTTACCTGTTTTGACTTTGTATGCCACTGGACAAACAGGGATTCTGACTGAGAGACTGAATAGTGGGCTTTTCTTTTCTTTACTAGATAACAGATACGATTAGTATCAGATCGGATAGATAGCTCTTTCAGTCTCTCTGTCCATCTGTCCGTCCTTCTTTCCTTCCTTGCTTGCTTGCTTGCTTTGGCACAGGGACTTGCTTTGCAGCTCCAACTTGTAGTGATTTTCCTGTCTCAGTTTACCCAGTGCTGGGCTTACAGGCATGCACTGCAACATGCAATTTTTTGTTTCTGGGTCTGGCATAGTCTGTGGTGCTGGTGATTGAACCCTGCCTGGTCTTTGCACTTGTGCTTGCTAAGCAGGCACTTAAAACTCTGAGCTATCTACCCAGCTCTATCTC